CTGTCCAGGTCTACAGGGTGGATATCAAGGAAATAGCAGTAGTTCAGTCCCAAAAATGACAGCTGGCCACCAGAAGCATTAAGGACAGTGTCCACATCTATGACCTACTAGAACTTAGTGTGATATTCTATCTCCAAATTGTTAAAAGTGCTGGTTATATATTTGCCATTACAGTATTTATGTTACATTTTATTCTTAGTAATTCTTACTATCAAGAAAACTTTTTCTTAGTTGATTTTTTGGAAATATTTAATTTCTATTTAATCAATTTTCTGAATATTGTGTAATGTTAATTTTTGTTTCAAGAGTTATACTGTATCTTTCACTTACTATCTACTTATAAGATATGGTACGATATTTTCTCCTACTCTTAGAAACTTTAAAAAGTATATTTCTGTTTTACATTGACTTTATATTAGTTCTTCCTTGTCTTTTGCACACACACACACACACACACACACACACACACAAACACACACACACACAAACACGAGAAAATATGTATATAACCCGACATAAGATTGATACTGTTTTGTAGAAATCTTCAAGATCTTTAATGAAATCTTTAAATGGGTTCATGTAATATATTTTACATTGTCTTGCATAACTAACATTTTGAGAGCTCTTTATTGTTATCCAGGAGCATACAGCAACTTCTCTTGCCTTCTGGATTATGTTCTTTGTTATTTTTAATTTGTTACCTTGGAGGTATTAGAATATTTCACAGAGGGGACCTGCCGGTCCAAGCCCAGGCGCAGCATGGGTAAGGCCCTCTTACACCCCCTTGGGACTGCACCCACCACAACTCCACAAACCCCCAAAAACCACACTCACTGAGTTAGAATTTCTGCCCTGTTCTGGTGACCCCCAGATCCAGTCTTAGCCAAAGCCCGGTGAGTGTGGGGGAGAGCTTCTTCTTGCTCCTACTCCACCTTGTTCCCTCCAGACTCAGCTCAGGCCTGGCATACAGGCCGGGGGCGAAACCCTAGAGCTGCAATCCCTGTAGAGAGAGTAGGGGACAGAGCCACACAGCCAGTCCAGGAGCAGAACATCTTGCCAGAGGTGCACAGCAGGTTCACCCCCAAGGGCGGTAGCAGGAAGGAGCTGAGCACAGCATCCAGACCTAAGCCAGGTACAACTGGATAAATCCAAACTTTGTAGATCTGCACCTAAATTTCAGTAGGTGCTAAGGTTATAACTGCACCAAAGCTCTACAACAAAGGTCAGAAGACAGTGCTACATAAAATGATAATGAGAAGAAACAAAATGCAATCTCAGAACACAAGCCCATCCATAACAAGTACAGAGGACACTAACACAGAACAAATTGGGAATCACAAAGCTGAAATCAATGAATCAACAGCTTCTGAAATACAGAAACAACTGCAGAAAGTTATAGAGGAACTCAGATTAGAAATGAAAAAAGAAATCCCTGAATTAATAGCATCTGCAGTAAAGAATCAAAAGCACAAACATAAGGAGGAAACCTAATACCCACCCAGAACAAGTGAAGAGAAACTAGCTCAGCTCAAATGCATGAATTAATAGTGTCGATAGTAAATAAGCAACAGCAGAAAGTCATAGAGGAACTCAGAGCAGAATTCTTTTCTACTAGCTCAACTCAAATGTATGAGTTAATAGTGTCAATAATAAACAAGAAATAGCAGAAAGTTATAGAGGAACTCAGAGTGGAATTCTTTTCTGAAATAAAAAAAGAATTCTCAGAACTCATAACATCTGAAGTAAAGAATCAACTACAGAAACATAGGGCGGAAACCCAATCTGAAAATAACACTGCAGTAAAAGAATTAATAACTGCTTCTAAAGAAAAGATTGATAAAAATGAAGATTAGAAAAATGATAGATTTCTTGAAAAAGAAACACAAGAGAGGATTACATCGCATGAAGCAGAGATAAAGAGATATGGAGAAACTTAAAATCTCAGTCACAAGCTTGCAAAACCATTTAAGTGAAAGTGAAGACAAAGTTTTAGATCTTGAAGACGCTGCTGTAGCTAGTGAAAAGGTAAGAAAAGAACTCTGAAAAACAACTAGGATGCAGGAAAAAATAATTCATCACTTCCAAGACGATGCAAACATGAAAAATGTGAGTCTAATAGCTATCAATGACAAAGAAGGAGTCAATACAAATGACATTTAAAAAAATATGGGCAGAAGTAATAGCAGAAAACTTCCCAAATATGAGGAAACAATCTGACATACAGGTAACTGAAGCATACAGAATGCCAAGTAACCTCAACCCACTTAAAAGCACACCGAGA